CACACCGTGGCAGCTTCCAGCAAGCTGCTACTAAAAGAGATTTCTTGAAACACACATCTTGCCTTCAGAGACACTTTGTGTCAGTTTTTCCCATGCCTGTGGTGCAAATTGGGTTGGACTTTTATAGGGCTACAGATGTGCTGACAATGGCCCTGTTTGGGCCTGATGCTCAGGATTAAACAAACAAACAAACAAACAAACAAACAAACAAACAAACTCCTGCCACTCTTCTCAAAGAAGCCCAAGGAAGCAAGCATCAAAACGTTTAACAACCTTGGTAGGTTGCTGCCATTCAGTGTAGACAATAATGACCTTAAATGAACCTGATAAAATGTGACTTCCTGTGTGCCTTTTTCCGTTTTCCTGCACAGAGGTGATAACACAAGTATGTACCTTTCTCATTGATAGCTGCTGCTCTTAGACTATCTGGTACCAAATCGCCACGTGATATCCCAAAGGCTAGTCTTTATCAGGAAATAATTGCAGTATTACTGTATATTTAGTGACTGTCTAAATATAGCATGTCTAAATATAAATATACTGTACTGCAGCCTTGCAAATAAGCCATCAGAAGTTAGTAGCCTGTAAAAAATGTTTACCAGCCCAGCTTCCCACTTAAGCTTGTGCAACAGCTGAAAATGAGCCGTTCCCCTGAGTGATGTCTGAAAGGATTCTTGTATGCCACAAGTGACTGACTACAACAAGCCTGATTTACCCCTACCTGTAGACAAAGGAAGTACAGTGGTACCTCGGGTTAAGTACTTAATTCGTTCCGGAGGTCCGTTCTTAGCCTGAAACTGTTCTTAACCTGAAGCACCACTTTAGCTAATGGGGCCTCCCGCTACCGCTGCGCCGCCGGAGCACGATTTCTGTTCTCATCCTGAAGCAAAGTTCTTAACCTGAGGTACTATTTCTGGGTTAGCGGAGTCTGTAACCTGAAGAGTATGTAACCTGAAGCGTATGTAACCTGAGATACCACTGTAGAGCTTTACAACCACAAGAACTGCCTCACAACTGGTTCAAAGGACACCTTTCTTCCCAGCTCACCCAAATGGTGGTGTGGGAGAGGCTAATTAGAATTTAATCAAAGGAGGGTGTATTGGGAGGGTGTATTGTGGGTGAGAGTTAAGATACTTGAACAGGAGCCGTTTGCAGCTCTGGTCGTTATGTGGGTTTGCAATTAAAACAATTATGCCTTGGGAGAGTCAAGCTGTCTGACTCCTTGCATTCATAATTTGATGATGTTTGATAGCCACCCCTTCATTATTTATTTATTTCATTTCCATGCAGAGAGATGCAAAGATTAAATCCAGGAAGATTGGAAGCTGGGGAGCTGGTTTTATACACAGGAAACGAGTGCCATGGACAGGAATCAATTGAGACACACCTCTAATTTTGAAAAGGGGGAATCCCATTGAGGTTGTTATTGATGCCCTGAAGTAGGGATTGCTCCATTGCTTGATATCATGCGCCCTAACACCAATGCCCTGCTCATATTTGGGGCATGTTATATAAGGCTCTGTGCTATTGTCCCTTTGGGATCCAGAGGCAAATTTAATTCAGAAATGCCACATATGTTTAGGGGAGAAATATGTGGTATAAGATGGAATTTTAAAAGCTGTCTCATAGGACTGGAAAAAAATCCCAGCTGCCTAGTGTTCTAGGTTCATACAAACCTGAAATACTTTGTACTGCCTTACACCAGGTTACATCAATAGTCCATTTAGATCAGCCTTCACCAGCCTGATGCCCTCCAGATGTTTTGGACTACAACTCCCATCAGCCCCAGCCAACAAGACTTGCTGCCATCACCCCCAGGAGCTTGCAGTTCTGCTGTCTGGGGATGATGGGAGTTGCAATTCAAAACAACTGGAGGGCACCAGGTTGGCAGAGGCTGATGTAACCAATATTGACTATTCTGACTGACAGCAGCTCTCCAGGGTCTTCGGTAGAAAGAGGCTTTCCCACATCCGGTACTACCTGGTCATTTTTAGTAGGACATGCCAAGGATTGTACCTGAGACCTTTGGCATGCAAATCAGGTGCTTTACCACTGTGCTATGAGCCTAAAAGTTTCTAGGGTTGGAATCTGTAATTTCTGCACACACCCTTGCTATGTGTCATTTTGTCCCTGAAAATGTGGTTTGTTTGTGTTCTGCCGTTCTTCAAAAAAATACAAAAAAATAGGGTAGATACACAGTCTCTTTCTATGATCCTCACAACAAGCTGAGAAAAAATGATTGGCCAGTGAACTACACATCTGAGTGGGAATTTGATCCTGGTCCAATGCGCTTAAGTTAGGGACAGGGAATCTGCCGTTCCCCCAATGGTGTTGGACTACAGTTCCCATCTTCTCTGGCCATGCTGATTGAGGCTTATGGGAGTTGCAGGTTGACCACATCTGACAGGCCACCTGTACCCTGCCCTGTGCCGTGCTGGAGTACTAATCAGATTAACACCTTCATTCTTTCTGTGTGTGACACTAGACCTTTTGGCTGATGTTTGGCGGCTGTGTATGTGTATACAAGCTTGCTGTACTCTGTATGGTTCTCTGCTTTAAATGTCATTACCTGTTATGAGCAACAGGAAGGTCCAAAGAAATGCATCTGAGAGATGCAACTTAGCCCCAGAAGTCTAGCCTTCATGGAAGGAGGGATCATGTCATGAAGGGATGTAGGCTTGTTGCTGTTCTCCACCATTGTCATACCCACCTAGCACCCCCCACTGTCTTGCCAACTGCCTCAGCCAATGTGGAGAAACTGGGGTAAGAAAATTTCATTGCTTGGCAACTGCCTCATATGTGTCGGCAGTTGTTAAGCAACCATTGCCATCGTTCTCCAGCTCCCTCTCCTCCTGGTTTGATTTTAGCCAACACCTGTCTGATGAAGGTGAGGAGGAAGGTCTAATCTCCATTAGGACCAATGTGAGCCCTAATTTGACAGTAGGGCATCAAGTGGTAGTCCAGGTTCCTGGACAGGAGCGGTTGAATTGATGTGTGTGTGTGTGTGTGTGTGTGTGTGTGTGTGTGTAAACAAGATTTTTGCCTTAAAGAGTAAGGTTTTATGTAATTATGGGCATGCTAATATGGAAGTAGCATGCTTCCATTTAATTTAGAGATGTTACTTGTGAGTAAATGTGACTAGAGGGATAATAATCTCCTTTCCTCTGTTCTGTCTAAATATGTCTGCCTGCTTCCTTCTGCCTGCTTTGGCTCCACTTGGCAAGCTTCTTGCCTCTATTCATTCAGGCTCATTCCTAGTCATTGACATCTGGCATGCAAGGTAGTTCCTTTGCATCCTGAGAACATTAGAAGATCCCTGTAGCTGGGTCAGGGCAAAGTAGGTCTAGTCTAGAATGCTGTGACTTGGAGTGAGTAACCAGTTGCCCCCTGGGACAAACGAGCAACAGCACCCTCCGTACTCATATTTCCCAGCAAATGGGATTATGAGGCTTAGTTCCTGCACACATGGAAATAATATTTAGCTATCGCTGTGTTCTGGTGTGTCTGCCTTGACTCCACTTTGCAAGATGTTGGTCCACTAAAAATTAATTTATTTATATATTAAATGCCTATACAGTTGTACCTCAGAAGTCAAACAGAATCTGCTCTGTAAGTCCATTCGACTTCTGAAACATTCGACTTCCAAAACGTTCGACTTTCAAAGCGCAGCTTCTGATTGGCTGCAGAAAGTTCCTGCGGCCAATCAGAAGCTGCGGAAGCCCCATCAGACGTTCGGCTTCCAAAAGAACGTTAAAAAAGTGGAACACTCACTTCTGGTTTTTGATCGTTCAGAAGCTGGAACGTTCGACTCCCAAGGCATTTGCGAGCCGAGGTGTGACTGCACTGCTCTTCATTCAAGGATCACAGGGCAGCTAACAATACAAAAACTCAAGAATACATAGCACGGTAACAACAAAAACAATACCCCCCTCACTAGTTTAAAAGGCTGTAGATTGACCTTGTAAAGAAACATGCTGGATTAAATCACTCATTAGACCAGAATACAGTGGTACCTTGGGTTAAGTACTTAATTCGTTCTGGAGGTCTATTCTTAACCTGAAGCACCACTTTAGCTAATGGGGCCTCCTGCTGCTGCTGCACTGCCGGAGCACAATTTCTGTTCTCATCCTGAAGCAAAGTTCTTAACCCGAGGTAATATTTCTGGATTAGCGGAGTCTGTAACCTGAAGCGTATGTAACCTGAAGCGTATGTAACCCGAGGTACCACTGTAGACTCTAGTCTAGTATTTGTGGGTTGTATGTATGAAGATTGTGTGAGTGCTAAAACTTTGTGATATGCCTAAGACTCTTGCCCTGTATGTTTGCCCTCCCTCCCTCCCTCCCTCCCTCCCTCCCTCTGTGTGTGTGAAATATATGTAACAGCAGTACACAACCACCCTCTTCTGCTGAGCCTCAAACAGGCATTCAGGAAGAGGAGCAGTGTAAATTCCATTTCTCAAGAGGTTGCTAAGAGCTAGAATTAGCACTCTGAGGCATCCTTCCAGTGCTGCCAGCCAGCAGTAGTTTGCCCTCTTCCATTCTACCCCCCCCCCCCATGAAGCCTTGGGGCAGGGAAGAGCAGGCATGAAGGTAAATGGAATCCCCACAGAAAGGTGACAGACTGTATTTCAGTATTCAGAATGAAGCTATTCAGATCAACTTGGGAGGTATGGAGTAGTGGCTTGGCCGGAGCTTCAGATTCCCCCAGTGAACCCTTGTTTGACACAGTCCTTCCTTCTCTCTCTTCTGCTCTCCCCTCTCCTTCCCTCAAAAGCATCTTTGCTTATTCAACAATCCTTCTTTTCTTAACAATAAGCAGTTATAGGCCTTTTTAAAAAGTAATTGTCTCAGGTCTGCCCTTGAATCTGACTTTAGGAACACCAGTATCTCTCTGGTCCCATTTCTCTAAGGTGCAAGATGTTCATGTGAAAATAGTGTGGTTGGGTTGCTTGGTAGCAGAATGCTCTCAGATGACCTCTGCTTTCCCCAGAAATAGGGGAAGAGCTCAGTGGCAGATCATCTTCTGCCTTACACGCAGAAGGTCCCAGATTCAGTCCCTGGCATCTCCAGGTTGGACTGGGAGAGAAACCCCTGCCTGAAAATCAAGTCAGTGAAGACAATACTGAGCTAGATGGATCAAAGGTCTGACTCAGTATAAGGCAGCTTTCTATGTCTCTGTGTTTGTTCCCAAGTCTTCATTCAACTGGCTCTCTTGCACCTTGGAAAGACAATGAATATCCATGGATAGGCTACTTGCATGAGCAATCTAACGTCCATCTATTACTTTATTTGTATGCTGCGTTTCCCATAGTTATAACCATGCTCAAGGCAGCTTAACATTAAAAAATACATAATTACAAACATAAAAAAGTAGTTGTAAACAATAAAACATCAAAACGTACACAACAAAATAGAACAATTTCCACATAAATCATAAGATCTAGAATAGAGAATAACAGCAACACCCCCAACAAAACTCCCTAAAGTCTGTATGAGCAATCTGACCCTGAAGGAAGTGAACCTATATGGTTTGGGATTTTTTGCATTTCGAAATCTCAACTCCCAGAAACTAATCAATTATCTCATAATGATGTAGATCATTATTTTTCTTCCCATTTCATTGTGGGAAAACCTAGGCTGAGGTTGAATGATGGTCACCCAGCTGTTCTTTGGCTGAACAGTGCTTAGAAATAACTCGGTTTTCACCCAATACACTTTCAGCCTTACCCTATACATCCAGCAGTGAGGTGCTAGAATGAACTGTACCAATTCAGACTGTAGGTGGGGTGTGTGTGCTATTTTTGAATACTCCCCCACATTAAATAACAATAATAGTATTGCAAGCAGAAAGCTCTGGTGTGTCAGGAAAAAAGGCTCTGTCCCAGCCCACTCCATACTGTGCTAAATTTCTACTTGCAGGGAATCCTTCTTGTTTTAAGAGAAGAAAACATTAACAAGAACATTAAAAAGCATTGTTACAGTTCTAGGACACATCTCAGCTATGTTAAAAGCACCCAAGCAGGGCCCTGGGGAGCATTCTGAGGGCTAGACGGAGAGCCAGAGGCAAACGGTCCTACCCTTGCTGTAAATGCACTAATTTTGTGGTATGCATCCCAGAAATGTTATTGTAAACCAGGATGAGTTTTCCCCCTCTAATAGTCAAGTTTTATATGATATACATTTTTTAAAAAAATAGTATATGCCTCCCAGAGTGGCTGGGAAAACCCAGTCTGATGGGTGGGGTATAAGAAATACATTATTATTATTATTATTATTATTATTTATTAAAATACATTGTTCTTCTTGAACATCTTGAAAAATCTGTGACGTAGGTTAAGGTCATGCTGCTGTTGAGTGGCAATATGGGCAAAGGCTTGTAAGACTCCTGACTCCAGTCCAGCTGTTTGGTTGGAGTATCCCTAACAAGTCTCATGAATTCCTCCTGATGAGAGTTGGCAGTAATCCTGCATTTCAGGATTCTCTGAAGCAACTCCCCCCCCCCCTTAAATCCAACTACCTTCCATTTGATTTGGAATGCTATATGTGCTCCAGGGTCGTGGGATCTCTTTGAACCCCCCAGCATTCCTTGGGGCAGATAGCACTGAACAAGAGGGCGGGTGAAACCAATGCGTTGAAACCAATGCGTTTTGTACATACTTTATGGGCTAATAGCCGTAAATAAAACTTAAATGCGTTGAGGTCACGTTGTACAAATAGACTGGGGAGCTAAGAGAGTGACGCATTCATGGATGATATATATCTGTGTGGAAAGGGTGCCTGCTTGCTGATGGAATGATTCCCCCTGGAATGTCAGGAACATTTATAATTGATGATCTGATGGCTGATTAGCCCCTTTGTGGGGGTTGTGTGTGTATTTAGCACTTGGGGGTCCCAATCCAGAGGGTATGTGTGCCTAGGCTGTGTGCACATAAGCAGGGTTTTAATCTCTCTCCCCTTTTTAAACCAACCCCCCAGAAGTTGTGTTTTTGTTTTTAAGAGAAGCTTAAAGTTGTGGCTAAAAGGTGAAAAGAAAGAAAAGCTTTTTATTGCAGAGAGGGGCTTTAGTATTTGGGGCAAGGACCTGCTTTTATCTGTCTGCCCCTTCTCTGGATTGTGTACTTCTTAACATTTTTGAGCTGATTCTGAGCTGTTTTCTGAGTCTGTGGAAGAAGTTGGGTTGGAAGTATCTGAACTGATAATATGGTGGGGCATTAGATGACAGGAGCACCTGGGCTTGCTTTTTTGGAGGACATTTGGTGAAGCACCGAATAAAATAAGGCCTCCGGGCTGAGCACAATGTTGGGCAACCAATTGTGAAGACCTTCATGCTTGCAGCTGGCCGCAGCCTTTGTTCTTTGAGCCAGATTCCTAGAGAAAATGGTCTTGAAAAATCCTCTCGGAGCAGCAGTGCATTTATGTTAGGCTCATGCACACACAGAATCCTCACCCAGAGCCATACGCTTCACCTGTGCATTTGGCTGCCAAGTCACATTTGTGTGTGTGTGTCTTTCTACCTATACACAGCTGTGTTGCCAGAGGCTGTTGGGAGTTGTAGTTCAGAACTATGCAGGGAGCCTGGTTGGCAAAGGCTGGCCTAGTGAATGACCTGGAATGTCTGTGCACTTCCTTCAGGCATAGTTATGACCCCTTGTGTGCTTCCTTTCCAACATTTTCCTGTTTATAAACAGTAGCGTCTTGTGGGGCCTTATCTTTATTTATTTTTAAAATAAAAGCTGTTGTGGCATGAACTTTTTAATGAGTGAAAAGCCACTTCCCTGTGTTTTCCACTGTTAACTGCAGCCCTCCCAGCTGTCCCCTTTCCCCACCCCTGGGCAGCACCTGCTCCATTGTCTCCTCAGGGAAGAAGCCATGCCAGAGATAGCAGCTGCCTGGCCAGGCGTGAATCCCAGGAATTTGGCCATGCTGGAGGAGAGCGGCTGACTCCTCTCGACCTCTGACCCAGCAGGATGATACAAGCCATCTTCTGTTTCTCTTCAGACTGATTTCTGGGGTCAGCACAACAGCTCTCCCTGTCTCCCTCTCTGCCTGATAAAATGTCTGGAGTCCCCGCCACACAATAGATCTGTCAGACTCTTGGCATAAGCTTGGGAGGGACGAGGGCAGGAGGAGGTGAGAAGAGAGAGCCACGGAGATACAACATTTCCTTCAGAAAATGTGCTGGGTGGCAAGGATAGGATCTTAACGGAGGCATCTCCCCCCGCCCTTCCATTTGCTATCAGATGAACTCCCAGAGCTTTTCGTATGGAACGACCATCCTAGGCCACATCTGTACCATTCATTTAAAACATTTTTATACTATTTTAGCAATCATATCTCCCCCCCCCCCCAAAAAACACACAAATAAATCCTGGGAACTGTAATTTGTTAAGCGTGCTGAGAGTTGTTAGGAGACTCCCTATCCCCTTCATATAGCTATAATTCCCAGAATCTCTGGAGTTTGTAGCTCTGTGAGAGAAATAGGGATCTCTTAACAGCTCCCGGCATGCTTAGCCAAACTGTAGTTCCCAGAATTATTTGGGGAAAGTCATGACTGTTAAAGTGATATGCTTTAAACTATGGTGCAGTAGGGACGCGGGTGGTGCTGTGGTCTAAACCACAGAGCCTAGGGCTTGCTGATCCGAAGGTTGGCGGTTTGAATCCTCGCAACGGGGTAAGCTCCCGTTGCTGGGTCCCAGCTCCTGCCCACCTAGCAGTTCAAAAGCGCGTCAAAGTGCAAGTAGATAAATAGGTACCGCTCCAGTGGGAAGGTAAACGGCATTTCCGTGCGCTGCTCTGGTTCTCCAGAAGCGGCTTAGTCATGCTGGCCACATGACCCGGAAGCTGTACACTGGCTCCCTCGGCCAATAAAGCAAGATGAGCGCCGCAACCCCAGAGTCGTCTGCGACTGGACCTAATGGTCAAGGGTACCTTTACCTTTTTATGGTGCTATATGGTCATAGCTTCTCTCTTTCTCCTCTCCTGTTTCTCTCTCCCCCATACCCACTCCAACTATAGCAAGATTGGAGCACAGAGCCTTGGACCCCAGATTTTGCTGTCTAGGCTTCATGAAGTCTCCTTTGCTTTGGAACTGTCTGAAAAAGCTTATTACTGTATTAGTCTCCAGTGTTAAGATCACACTGTGGGTGCACAGTTGTTACTCCAAGCAACTGACATTCAGAGACATACTGCCTCCAACACTGGAGATAGAATATAGCCATCATGGCTAGTAGCCATTGACACCCTCCATGAATTCCCATGAATTTCACATGCTGGAAATTATTTTGAAAGTGAAATTTTGCAGAAAAGTGCACACTTTTCAGTATATTTATTTATTAAATTTATAGCCCAACCTTTCCTCCCAAAGGAGTCCACAGAACATGACTTCCTTTTGCACACCTTTGTCCCCCAAAGCTATGATCTAGCTGCAGCCGAACCAGGTAGGGGGTGAATTTGTGGATTCCATATTCTGAAACTATAGCTCCAGGCGTATTTGTTTGATTTTTATCATCTTGTTCAGTGTTCCAAGCACAGGGGCAACCCCTACCAGAGCTTTGACCTGTGATCTTAACACTGGAGACAAATAAGCTTTTTCAGACAGTTGGAGGTGGTTTGAAAAGCAAGGTGACTGTTCATGGTAAATAGTTTTCTTTTCCATCTTTCCAGCTTTTCCTGCTTTTTTTTTATTTAAAAAATTTGCTTGGTCAGATGCAATCTTGGGACAAAATTAATGCTTGTGCAGCTGTGGAGAGTAGTGTGTTGCTCAAATTGCCGTCAGCTCCCTTGGAAATTCATTGTTTGTTTCTGACCTTGCAGCTCTAGCCTAGTCAAAGATGGAGGAAGAGAGCAGAGCCTAGTGCAAAGGTGTTTGGGAGAATGGATATGCAAAATCAAGTGGTCGTAGATCCCCCTCAGAGACTTTTTCTGGTGGGCCAGGAAAGTCTGTGCTAGCGGAGGAGAAAATGGCTTGATGAATGGAGATTCTCATTTGTAAGCAAAGACAGTGCCTAGTTAGGAGCTCAGACACTTGAGTTGTTAAAGCATTCTTTGCCAACCTGGTGCCCTTCAGATGTTGTTGGGACTCCCACCTGCCTCCATCTATTACAATTAGCCGTGCTGGCCATGGCTGATAGTGTGGTGTTGTGGTTAATGTACTAGACTTGGACGTGAAAGACCTGGATTCAAATCCCCACTCCGTCTGCCATGAAGCTCACTGGTTGACCTTGGGCAAGTTACTGTCTCTCTCAGCCTAATCTTCCTCATGGGTTGTTAGGAGAAAATGTGAACGGTGAAGAACACTACCGTGAGTTCCTTGGGAGGAAATGTGGGATTATAAATATAATAAATACTAAAAAAAATCTCGAGGGCACAAGTCCTGAAATTCCTTTCCTTTTCCTGTGAAGTATGGGTGTGGGGTCTTTCGGGGATGAGAGGGCAATGCTCAGTATATACTTAATATTTTATCCACCCAAGTAAATTAATTTTGGCTAAAGCAAAAAGATTTGTGCCAGAGTTTTGAGCATGTCAAGTGAAAAACAAAAGCTTCAAGGCACATGCAGAATGAAAGGCTGCTGACTCTTAGGAAGTATTTTAGCCTTTTCCTAGGAACTAAAAGCCACATGTAGCTATTAACAGAGAAGTGGATAAAATTTAAGAACTTCTAATGGTAAGTTTGGTTCAGAAAAGTGATTTAGGGGGTGGGGTGGAGAAAGAGATATAAATCAGGCGTTTGAATTTCTTTATTTTTTTAAATCAGCCAAGCTGCACACTGTGGTGTTTCTAATCCAGTGAGTTTAGTACCATTTATCAATGTGAAATTTTTAGGGGTGGGATTGTACACTTTAATTTGAGACTCTCACCTTATGGGCTTTTTTGGTGGATTTCAGCCCTAATGAGGGCTAGGAAGTGTGTGTGTGTGTGTGTGTGTGTGTGTGTGTGATGGTTTCTTCCTTGGTCCTCTTATTTTGTTTTCTCTCCTTCGCAAAGGCATGCAGCTCTTTTCCCTCCCCCAAGCCCTCTTCTGTCTCCAAGGATTGGGTCCCACCTCCTTGTCGCTCCCCTTCCCAATGGTTAAATACAAAAGAGGAAGTGCTGTGTGCTTGCCTGGGCCTGGAATGAAGAAGCAGGGGATGAGGGGGGAGGAGAAGGAAGAGGGGAGGGGAACCCAGAATCCAGAGTGCGTCTGCTATTGAGAAATGAAAAGGCTCCTCCAATTAGACGCTTTGGTGCTGCAAACTTGAGGCGAGGCACTTGAACTGTCACTGTGGAGCCTTAATTAGCAGCTGCGGGTGAGGGGTCAGCCTCAACTCAGCAGTCTTGACAAGGCTGATATCAAGTGCAAGGCAGAGGAGGAGGCAGGCAGGGAGAGAGAGAGAGAGAGAAAGAGGACGGGAAGGAGGCAGGCGAGCAAACAAGCGAAGGGGGGCGGGAAGGAGAGAAGCAAAAGCTCCCTCAACTCAGGACCCAAACCCTGGAACACACAGGAGGAGAGGTGGGGTGTGAGGGAAGCGATGGAGAGATGCAGCCAGCGCTTTAAAAGGGAATAAAATGGTTGCTATCTTTCTCTTTATCTGAGCTGGCTCTCTGCCTGCAGTGAGGATCCCAGGAGCAGCTGTTTGCCTGCACCCTGAGCTCTTCCTCCTCTTCCCCTGCCCCCCCCAACCCCGGACATCATTCCAGTCCACTTCCTCACCTTCCCAAACTGTTTGCCTTGAGATCAGAGTGTGGACGCCGTCAGACAGTGACCCCGTTCCAGAGGGCAGAGGCGCAGAGGTTGTTGTCCTTGGGGTTGCTTGCCATGCCACGGATTGCTGCCTAGGGTCTTGGTTTTGTACCCCTGCTGCCGTCGCTGCCAGGGCCAACATGCTGGAGATGAAGACCTGGTCCACCTTGCTTCAGAGTCTGAGTGAGTGAAAGTTTAGCTCCCTCCTCTCTGTCAAACCCCTCCCCCCCCCGCCTTGCAGCAAAATCTGGCTCCTGTTTTATCTAGCTTGGTGTCCAGCTTTGGGCAAGAGGCTACAGGGAAGGGAGAGCAGGGCTCACTCATGGACTTGCTTGGATGCCCTGTTAGTGCAGAGGAGGTCTCTTCTACTTGCACTGTTTGGAGCTGTTGGAGATGATCTAGCTCCCATGTTTATTTAGCAGGAGCTTATTGGGGGGAGGGGGGGAGACCCATTGTATAGGAGCTGTAGGCTTTGAGGTCCCAACTCTTCCTCCTCCTCTTCTTTCTCACATTTCCCCTCCCCATGGTCAGTGATTCTGGGTTCTTTATATAAAAAAATCACACGATGGAGTGGCCAAATCCTGCAGTGAATCTCAAAGGCTGGTCTTGCTTTCCCTTGCAACATGTAGCTTGGCTTGCTTTCATGAGTCACATGCCTGTCTGTTTTTGTTCTAAGTAACCCTTTTTTGTGGTGGAGCTGCTGTGTGCCTATGATGCATCATGGTAGAGCTACTTTTGCCTTTAGCCAGTGGAGAGGAGCCAGCCTGGTGGTTTTAGGGGCCCTTGCAAATCATACAAATTGGCATCTGGGTCAGAAAGCAATGCAATGCAGAGAAGTTATGAGTAGTAGACACTGATGGAGAGGCAAGAGGCAACAAGAAACAGAAGGATCATGTGCATCCAGCTCACTTGAGATTAGAAAGGGCTTGTTTCTTGGGGGGGATGGGGGATGGGGTCCTGTATGATTTTTAATGAGTTAAGGGGGGTGAGTCTGTTGAGAACTCTCTAGACAGCACCTCTCTTCATTTCAAGCTAATTAAACTCTACCTGCCTGGCAGTTTCCTGAAAGGGAGGGGGGAAACTCATGTTGACTGTGACTTCCTGACCTGGTGGGGCTTCACCTTTGACCTTTGACCCCTGGCCTCTGGCCTTTTTAGGAAAAAAAGAGATGCTTTAAATGCAAGTTATTTGATAGCTAATCCCAGCCGGAATTTTGGCTGCCTTGCCTTTTGTTAATTTAACCCTCACTTTATGTGTGGTGTGAGGCATTGGGTGAAAGACAGTTTTGATTGGTTGCAGGGGGGGGGGGGGCTTGTCTGGAGAAGGTGGGTGATTTAAGAGAGATTTTGAGGGCTGAAGCATAAAGGAACATGTTCAAAAGTAGCAGCTACTTAGTCTTACAATGTCCTGAGAGCAAACTTCTAAGTTATACAGAAATCTTTTTCCAAGCAGGACCTAAGAGAGACATATAATATATGTATTTGTTTATTGTGGTGTCAGTTTTCCAGGCTGCCTTATAGTGTGTGACACCGATGGGGACGGAGACTGGGAAGGCAAGCCTTCTGCAGAGGTCATACAGATGTGCAGATTACTGGCTTCCTGAGTTGCAAAAAGAGCTTACAGCAAATCCTATATCCATCAGGTTGCAGATTAGACTGTTCAAAACATTTTCGGCAGGTTTGTTATGGTGATGAGGAATCTCTTTCTCTGTGTGCATGGGAATACGGTTCTTTCAAAAGCACATCAAATCAGAAAGTTTGAGGCCACCCAAACAAAAGGGCATGTGGATGGAAGCCCTGAGCTGCAACTGAATGGACAACCAAGTCAAGGCAAAGCAACAATAAGAGAAGTGCATGTCTTAGTGGGGCTCCTTATGACTGTGTGTACATCCATAGTAATGGTGCAACAGGTGTCATACCAAGATGGCACTTTGCACTGAAACGCTTAGTGATGGAGCTCCCCACCCCGCAAAGTTATGGATTACTTTCTTTTTGGCTCTCCTCTTCTCTTCTCTCCCTCCATCTCTGATAGTATGCTGGGTGCTATAGAAAACTCACTGATGACAAAGTCCTTACTTTGATCCAAGTTAATAGCTTAGTGGGTGAGTTTGGATTGGGTTTGGCAGGGATTTGAACTATCCTTTCCTTCCAACTGTAGGTCCTGCTTTTCTATTTTACTCTCTCCCCCTCCTCTTTCTGGGTCCCTGATGGATGTGTTTTTACAGAGCTCAAATTTTGATATTGAACTCAGTAGCCCTCAGTGTTGCAGCTTCGTTTCCAGTCTCCAGATATGGAACCGTTGAAGTAGTATTAAAAAGTTTGTATCTTTTAGACCTGATAATCAGAACCTCTGCCTTCAGACACCCTGGATTAAGAGGTGGAGTAAGGTGGGCTCCCAGATCAGAAAGTGTTGCTTTTTGTTCACTCTGAGCTCCAGCATCTCTTTAAACCCCTGTTGCCTTCACTTTTGTTGCTCCTCATCAGTCTGTGATTAATAGCTTCCTGTGAAAATGGATAATGGGGTAATGGACAGGGAGGTGGTGTCTTCTTCACCCCTCCCCCAGTAGGAGCAACAAATCATAGCCCTTAGTTTAGTCTGAACTAGGGACCATGTTTCTTTTGTGGAAAACAAAGATGGGCAGTCAAGGTTTGTTCTTGACTCACCCACCAGTCACGCTTGGTTTGAGTGCCTGCAGGACAGCTTAGTTGGTAGAGTATGAGACTCATAATCTCAGGGTCATGGGTTTGAGCCCCATGTTGGGCAAAAAGATGCCTGCATGGCAGGGGGTTGGACTAGATGACCCTCGTGATCTCTTCCGACTCTACAATTCTATAATTCTATGAAATAAATCACTGTCAAATATTTGGGTAAGCCTAGGGACTGTGGCTTATTCCTCCCAAGAACAAGCCAGGAGCCATCTCCATGTTCATGGTAAACTGATTTACAGTGAGATGCAACCATAACTTGGTGGTAGAGCACCTGTCTTACATGCAGGAGGTCCCAGGTTCAGTCCTCAGCACCTCCAGATTCTCCTGTCCAAAACCCTGGGGAGCTGCTGCCAGTCAATGTAGGCAGTACTGAGCTAGATGGCATCTGATTCAGGACAAAGCATTTTCCAATTTTCCTACAAAAGTTTTTTTAAGGAAGGACCATAGCTCAATGGTAGATCCTTGCATGCAGAAGGTTCCATATTAAAGCCCTAGCTTTTTCAGGCAAGACTGGGAATTGCCCCTGTCTGAAACCCTAGAGAGCCACTGCCAGTCATTGTAGACAAGATTGCTAAATGGACTAATGGTCCGAACTCTGTATAATGCTGCTTCCTATAGTTGTAGCATGTCAAGCAACACTGTATGTGTACTTGTGGTAGTACCCTTAAAAGGGAGGAAAGGAGGAGCTTTAATGTGTGCCTGAACAGCTTTCTGTCCTAGGGCAAAGTTGGTGGTTACAGCAGCAGGATCAGCCTGTGCAGATGAACAGCTTGGGCCAATGGAGGCGACTGCGCATTGATTTGCTGTCATAAAATACAAGGACAGAAAGCAGCATTTGCTAATAAAAAGGGAGACCTTCCCTGAAAAAACAGTTATTACTGTATCCTGGCACTCGAAAGGAACAAAGCAGGTGGGTGGGTGGGGGGTTGTTGCTTGTTAGAGCTGCCGCGGGCTAATAGGCAGAGGGCAAGGCAGGCAGAGGGCAGGCTGTGCCCTCTCATATGGAGAAGGCCAAAAGGTGCCAGCTAAGCTCTTCTGGCATCAGAGTTCCCTTCCCTGGGGAGGATTAGCAGGCAGGGGTTATGCAGACGGACAGCTGGGCAAGCTGTTTGGATCACGGGGAACTGGAAGCTGCTCAGGCTGTAATCTGAGCTAGGAGGGGGTTTATGATTCTGTGCACAGGTCAGTGCCCAGACTGGAAGGAGAGAATGGAGGGGGGGGAGGTGTCTCCTTTGGACAGCAACACCCATTGCTTATATGCCTGGTTCCAGACTGACTTTGAAAAGGGGGCATTATTGTGAATGCATTTCTCCATTACACAGTGATGTCAGGAATTAATTTAGAATTTGGCTTCCCCAGAACCTAAGACACACCCTCCATGCCCAGCTCCAGGGCCCACTTTCAGTGGCTGGGAGTGTCTGCTGGCACGAGATTTTTACCATCACTACGGATGCAGAGCCCGCTTGATTTATGCCTGCCCTTTGAGATGGCCAAGTGTTCTATAAGGACTACAGCCAAAGATCTAATTGATCAGTTAAAATGAGTAACTGAGTTCTCTCTCCCGGCCACCAGCCTTCTTGTGCCATGCTACTCTGAGGTGAAAGTGGGACAGCATGAAAAAGTGGACATGGGCACACACAATGGCAAATCATCAAACTGAGGCTTGGGAAATAAAAATGTCTTGTGTGATATGGAATAATTTCAACATGTTTTGACTAGTTGTCTTTAGGGTGCAAAATAATCCTCCCCTGCCTTATTCTACTGCCTGATAGCTGCCGTTTCCTCATAGCTTACTGTTCCCTAGGCCTTGTTCCCCCCCTCCCCCAGCCCCTAATTTTCTCAGCTCTGTTCATTTTACACCCTTCTCTTCCTTGGGCCTTCAACTTCATCCATCAGCTCAGCTTGTTGCTTTACTTAATTACTCTATTTCTAGAATGGCTTTCAAGCCCTGGTTCCAAGGCAGCTTACGTAATCTTAAATAGTTAAAAACCATTCAAACAGGGACCCTCAACCCCATCATGATTAATGCAAGGACAGCAGAAAAGACCCACAGAGTATAGAAACAAAAGAACAGAACAAAAATAATACAAAAGCAGCTTTTCTAACCAAAGAGGTGGCTCCCCTGTTGAAAATAACAAGGGAGCATGATTCTTCAAAATCTTAAGGTGGAACAGTGCCCTAAAACTGGAGCCACCACTCTAAAAGCTCTGCTGCTTGTTGAAACTGAGCTAATACAGCAGCCACTGGTATCTGGAACAGGGTTAAAGTGTTAAACAAGTTAAAGTGAGGTGGGGGGGGCTCATAAAGGCACAGACTCCTCCTGAGATTCTTATCCTCTCTCCTGCCCGTGAGTCTTTCATCTTCCCCTCCACTCTCATTACCACCTTTCTTCCAAAAGTGTACAACACCTCTTTCTTGTGTTAAGGCAGACCTACCAAGCCTTTGAGGGATGATGTTCTCAGTAGTGCTGCTAGAGCCTGGTGTAGTGGGGAAAGGAATCATGACTTTTTCATGTTTAGCTCAGATCACTCTTGACCTGTTCTGGCTTTGCAGGTGAGAGGAGAGGCATTGGATATGCTGTTTCCTCTGCTCTAGTTTAACGGTGTTCTCTTTGACACAATAGGGACCAGCAACCCAGTTGCAATTCAGCTTGTTGTACAGAGCAAATGTATCATCTGCATAGCACTATTCTTAGTTTTTGTTCCTTGCGTAAGAGAAACCCTTGTAAGAAAAGGCTGTTCAGACTCAATTTCCCAATATGGCTGCCCCTCCCCCTTTTCAGAATGGTTGCAAACTATTTCACACCTTCTAACTGTTCTTCCCAAAGGTTGCTGAAATTTCCCCTTTATTGAGTCTCCCTCCCTCCCACATTCAACAAGGAGTCTGTTTCCTGTTGATTGACTGCTCTGGTGAAGATTGGGGTGTTGTAAAATAGGTTTATCTCACTGAAAGACTTACAAGAGGTATTTGAAATGCAACCTTTGTAACCTTTTCAAGGGCTATGTATATGCCACCTTTAAAATGGAGGGGGGGGGCTGGTGCACTCCAGATGTACTATGCCTCCCAGCATCTCTGACCATTGGCTATGCTGGCTAGAGCTGCTAGGAGATGGAATTCAATAACAGCAGGGAGGGGGCAGTTTCCCCATTCTTGCTTGAAGACAAACAAACCTGTAGTTGTATCCTGAGTGGCTCAGTGTCCTTTAATGCTGCCACAAGTGTCAATGAGCAGCTTCATCAAGCTCAACATTGTCTATACTGCCTGGCAGCAGCTCCCCAGGGCTTCAGACAGGGGACATTACCTGGATTGAACCTGGGGTCTTCTGTAGGCAAACCAGATTCTGTTTGAGAATCTGTTTGAGGAGCAATCCACCTTTGGGTTCTCGTGGGTTGATACGGGGAGGGGGAGAAAGAGGAGGACTAGAAGGAGTTGTCAGCTTTGTGTCTTAGGTGGAGGACTGAACCGCCTCTACAAATGATATATGTTTCTCTGAGTGAACAGGAGAGGTATGAGAACTCCACCATTCCTGGTCGGCTTCTTTTCTCCCGCTCTCCTTGTCTTGTGCTGTAGCACGATTCCTGTTAAATCAATATTGAGTTGGCACCTGTTATTACAGGATGTGGGACCCAGCCGCCTTCATGCTGTGACTTCTTTCTGTTTCTTTCTCTCCGCTTTTTGGTTTCTCCAATGCACAAATGTGCACACACAGAGAGAAGGAAGGTGGAATTCAATCACACTCTACAAAATAGGAAGATTGAACGGCTGAGGAACAGCAGTTGCAGAGTAGGCCTGGATCCTCTTTAAGTGCCCTAATGTTGCCCTAGCCACTGAGGGTCAGAGGCCACCTCCCATATGGGCTTTGTTCACCTTGATGGTTATGGATATGCTTGGCATGTTTATGAGTCCCTGAATGACCTGCAATGCTGACATCGCCTTGCTCAGTAAAGAGCTAGGGGCAAAGGCTGCAGTTGCTGTGTCCACGTTATGTCTGGCCAGGAATGTGAAGTGGTCATTTGACTTAATTGGAGGGAATTAGGGACTGTCTGGTATGGTATGAAGTGGTGGCCATTTGAATCCTAGGCAGGAGGCTAGCAGCCCTTTTAGTTGGGCTGGACTCCAGTGCAGACAGAGGGTAGAAGCATCTTTGTGTACCTGAGTGTCTAGTAAAACATGGCCCACCCCTTTGTTCTGACATCTAATATGTGATGCCTTAACAGAGGCTCCATCAACATCATACTTTTCAAGCACATGGCTTCCCTGAAGAATCCTGGGAACTGTAGTTTACCCCACACAGAGCTCCAGTTGCCAGCATCCTTGGCAAACTACAGTTCCCAGGATTATTTGGGGGCATGGAAAGCCATTTACTTTGAATATGCTTTAAATGTATGGTGTGGATCAGCCCAGAGGTTGAAGGCCAACTGGATATAGGCATAAGTCTAGTTGCTGAGAGAATCCAGGCTCCACCCCCAAGTGTGTCCTCTGGTACATCAGTTCTCTTCCATCATGCTTAAAAAACAAAACAAGCTGCAAAACCTCTCTCTCTTACAACAGCATTGGGCTTAAGGTGTAGAGAACCAATATTCTTCAGACGGCTTTAAGGGTGGGGCTGAAGAAACCCTCATCTTCCCCTCCACCCATCCCATTGCCTAATGTGCCCCTCCTGGAGCACAGCCAACTCACTTCAGAGTTGCAGCAACATTGCCTGCTCTGGTTTCTTAACAAGGTGTGGGGCTGATTTGCAGCCCTGGAAAGCCAAGCTTCTTCCAGAGTGCTTCTTTGCATGTGCTTGTATCTGGCAGACACACTGTCTTCTTCCAGAGCTGCTTTGTGTCTGGGGAAGGGACCACAGCTCAGTGGTATGGCCATGTTTTGTACGTAGCCCTATGTGTTCATCCTCTTGCATTTGTAAGTTTAAAAATGATCAATTTGTACATGATGACTGCCTGATTCTTATGTTCCACCTTGATTACTGAGATCTTCTCAATGCCTCTGAGGTTCAGTTGGCCTCTATTATGGACAGGCCCAGCTGTTTGAAACTCCTTGCCAGTAGAGGTTTGGCAGGACTTATTCTTGCCTTCTTTTAGATGGCTCCTTTGCAATGTGAATTTGAATTTGAGATTGTATAACTCTGCTTCCAGTTCCAAACAACACAGAATCCTGTCCTTGACAAGGCCCTGCAGCCCTGCTCCCTTTGCCAAGGGATGGGGAACCTGTGGCCCTCCAGTTGTTGGATACTAACTCCTATTAGCCATAGCCAGCATACCCAGTGGTCAGGAATGATGGGAGGTGTAGTTCAGAACATTTAGAGGGCACCACTTTAGCTACCCCAAAGTAATGGTTTTTAGTAACACCCCTTGCCCTAGATGCTTAAGATGCTGACTATGGTGTTCATGCAGTCTGAACAGACAGAACCCAAGTTAAAGGCAAACAAATGTATTTTGAAGCTAGACTGTTTCTACCAACTGCTCCATGTCCCTCTCTGCTTTAAAGAGCAGCAAGCATCCCTTTCAAAAGTTGGATGGTTGCAGTGTCTGCAAATAGCTGAATCTAAGTCCAAATATGGGGGTGTTGGTGATGCCTGCCTTTATCTTTCTGGCTAACTCTTGTACAATGCTATTAGCCCTTCTCTGAACCCACTTGTGTGACTTGTTTCGTTGGCTGGCTGGAGGTCAGAGTAGATCTGTACAGATCAGGTTTCAATTGCAACAGGGTTACATATAGAGGGTCAAAGATGGAAAGGAGTCAAGCATTGAACAATGACCTGGATCAGGAAAGAGGCTTTTGTGCAGGGTGGTGGCTAGAGGAGATACAGGATGTACATCTATTGCTGCAGCATCTGGAGTCGTTGCCAGTTGCTCCAGCAAGGCTCTGTTTGTCCCCCACCACAGCATTCCCTGCCTGGCTGTGTGAGAGAAGCCCCCTTGAGCAAAAGACTTACTTTCCTGCCATGACGCCTGCTGATTTTTCCATTGTCTGTAAGCAGATAGGGTTAACATTCCCCAGGGAAGGCAGGGCCTCTGGAGACTCGCTGCAGTCCAGCAATGAATGGTGCCTTTTTAATACTCCATCCTTCAATCCTTATCTCTCCTAATTTATTGGACGTAACTGGTGGCGCTGATGGATCCACAGCTCAGACCTTGGCTTCTAAATTTCAGCATTAATAATCTCAGCCTTCAGCCAGCTCTCCAGATGTCTTTGATTTAGCTGCTCACTCGGGAGGGGTGCAACCCCGTGTCCCTGGTGCCAGCGTTAATGTGGCCTGCTGACAATATATTTGGGCTTGGAATTGCATTTCCCTGATGAATTAATTCGCCTCTTAGTGACTGTCCCTCCCTCTGTCCTCCTCCCTTCTTAGCTGGGGTCAGATGTTCTAATGAATGGGGTCAGGAACAACTCGTTGCCTTCCTGCCCTATCCTCTCATTCTGCCCTCCTCCTCCCCAAGTGAGAAAGGGGAAATTTATCTGGCACTGTGAGTGAGAGACAGACACACAGACACACAGGCACAGAGAGAAGCAAATAACTTGCTTAATCTTCCATCAGCTTTGAACTGTTGTGCTAGGGCACTCCATATTGGAAGGCCCCTGGTAGGGAATAGTAATCAAGAAATCTTTACCAGTTGCTTTGTGTGCTCCTGGCTGTTCCTGTTCTGCAAAAAATAGCCCAAGCACCACGGTGGTGCCTGCCTCCCCATCAGTGCCTAAACACAGGAAGCTGCTGCACAGCAGGTCAAGACTGTTTGTCCATGTACTCTGGTTTCGTGTGTTACAACTGGCAGCAGCTCTCCAAGGTCTGAGGGAGATAAGGGTCTGTTCTACCTGCTCCTCCTTCCTTTTAACTGGGGAGACCGGGGGTTCACCTTGGGACCTTCTGCATGCAAAGCAGGTGCATTCTGCATTCTGTAATTCAGGCATGAGTTTTATTTATTTTTTATGGTGGTGAAGGGGCATGATCTGGACAGGGGTGTGTTTTGATCCCTGGAGCTCAAGCTACTTTGGCAGGGAACTGCAGGAGAACAAACTAGATTGTTGGGAACTGTTGCTTCAGTATTCGAGTGACAAATTCTAGGGCTCTTGCAGATGTTTTGGACTGTAGTTCCCATTCAGCACAGCTGGGAATTGTGGTCCAAAATATCTGGAAAGAATCTGGTTGGCAAAAGCTGACCTAATTAGAGACCTGAATACACTGTGTATTGATTTGCCTGTTTTGCAAAACTTAGCCTGCTCCTGCTAAGCTGAGCTTTAAAAGCCCTGATCAAATAGGAGCTGGAAGTTTCTGAAACAACCCCAAAAACCTGTTTGACCAGAACTAATGGTGCCCTGCATCATGGGCAACAATTACCGGTACTTCATTGCTCTGTCTTCTAGAAACTTTTGTACTGCTGCTCCACTGGACAAACCTTTCAGCCTATAGAGCCCTGCAAACAACTACACCAGCATTTGATACTGGCTTGTCTGCTGGTGCATGCCAATAAGGGTTACTGGAGGGGCACATCAACAACCCTCTTTCAAAAAAGAATCTCTTGCTTAGTCCAACTGACACCTACATCCCTGACCTTGGTCACAGTGAATGCAATTTTGAGTCTATTTTAAAGGTCATTTACAATACTGGTCTTCATTGGCATCACGAGCAAGACCCAGCCTATCCACGACTCTGCTTATGGTTCAGAGGAGCTATTTAAAGCCAAGGGAAATAATTGACTTGCTTTTCCTGTTGCACTTTGAAATCCTCTTTCTCCCTTTTTTTCTTTTTCCTTTAAAGATGGTTAAAATCAGAAAAATTGACCTTCTTCCAAGTAGTTCCTTGCACAAGCCTGGCTGCAGTCTTAAAATAATCAGTGGATCAGCCAGGGCTGTCTGGGGGAGCAGAAGTGGGTTGCAGCCAGTAGATGTCCTTAGTCAGAGTGGCTGAGATTAGGAATGGCTTGTTTTCCTACAAGCTCTTATTTTTCCATAAAAAGGAGACACTAAGGCCTTGTTCAATTGTTGCTGGCCATCCATTGTAATAGGGGTTATTATCCAGATAATTGGCACGTGGTGATAGATGGCAATGCAGAGGTAAGGAAAATTAGGCTGGGCAGATTTTAATTTTTTTATTCCAGCCTTTGATTCACTGGACTTTCTTCACTTGAACACTGGCCTCCCCTTGATGAAGAACTCAAATCCCCGTTGCAGTTTCTACCAAAATCTTTAATGCTCAGATCAGTGTGATACATAGGCAAAACACAGCAGGTGCTACACATATCTACACAGAGACATTGATCCAGCAACAACACCTCCCTTACAAGCCTGTTATAAGTGATTTGGGTGGACACAACTTAGTGGAGCAAGGCGTTCTGATCCCTAGTGCTATTTTTCTAGAAAAAGAAGTGTGGGAGCTCACCATTAGTGCATGCCTTGTTCTCTTCTAATGGCAAAGGCGCCCACCTGAGAGGTGCCGGAGCTTGAGTTCCAGCAAGTTCCAGCTGAAAAAAAGCCCTGGGTAGACAACCTGGTATTTCTCTGAGAAGGCTGAACCTGCCCTGTCTGTCCATGCCTACTCTGGGGTCTCATTAACCTAGGAGAAGGAGGGTACACCACTGCCTCTACAGGGCAGCAACCTCCCCTGGAGAGGGAGGATTAGATGTGATTTCTGACAACCCTAGAGGTGGAGTTGGTGGTGCAATAGGCAAACTGGCCAAACCAGAGCCAGCCTCCCAACAGCTCCAGAGTGGGCACTGAAGCCCATGCATCGTACTGTGGGAAATGGTGGCAACAAGGGAATCCCCTCTCCAGGATCCTCTTCCCCAGGGCTCTCCCAACACAGGCAGAGACCTTCCCAGTCTACTGGATCCCTTCCTGGGGTCTGCCACTCGCGTTTTCTGTCCTGGCTTGACCAGCCCCCTCCCCAAGTCTATGACAAGGAGCAGTAAGTGCGCAGAGGCGCCCTGATAAAGGGCCGAGTGGGCCCTATTCTGGTAACATTTACATGAACAAACTGTTTAAGGGAATGGGCATATACTTCTCTTGTTTAAAGAGAAGACAGCACTTGGGCTGCCTTTGGACGGGGTCAGTGGGGGGATATTGTGCAAGTGTTGCTGGGTTTATTGCTAACTCTCTCCTCCGCCCCAATTTATAACTACATTTTGTGATATGGAACTGTGCCTTTGTGATGGATATACCATGGTTTCCTACATAATTTTGTTCACACCAGTGGGTGTGATATGGCACAACTGTGGACATCATTGGACATGTCTACAGTACTACCATCCTCCCTCTACCCCATATCTTTTCCCTGTGATCCTGTGTGCAGTTTTGAAAAACTTATTTCCAGCTAAATAAGTGTATCTCATTGAAAGAAGGAAATAGTGGTAGCCTTCCATTTCAGTGTATCAATCAAAAATGGAAACTCACACTCTTTCCAACCTGTTTGTAGAAAGGTGCATGTTGGAAAGTTTGTTGCTCATTGACAGAGCACCTCTTTTACTTGCAGAAGGTCCCTGACTCAATTCCTGGCATCTTCAGGAAGGGCTGGAAAATACACCTCTCTGAAACCCTGAGGAGCCAATGCTAGTTGGTGAGGTGTTGAAAGTACACAGGAACATGGGAAGCTACCTTCTTTATACTGAGTCAGACCATTAGTCCATCTATCACAGTATCATTCACTCTGACAGGCAGAAGTTCTCCAGCATTTCAGACAGAGATTCCTTCCAGCTCATACCTGCAGATATCAGGAATTGCACTCTGGACCTTTTGCAGGCAAAGCATACGCTCTACCACTGAGCCACGACCTACTCAGCTAGATGGACCAACAGTCTGACTTGGGATAAGGCAGCTTCCTCTTGTTTTCTACACAGTGAAAGTTGTGCAGAGTCCTAATGAGAGTCTACCTCCTATGACCATTAGGGCTTATTTTGTAGCCACCATCCCATCACCTTAGTGTGGTTCTCTGTGGTTGGTGGGTTCTGATCCCCACGCTTTGGAGGTGATGGAGCCAGGGGCAAAAATCCCCCTCAAACTCTGTTTCCCACTTCCTCCAGAGTCTGCTTGTGTTCTGCTGATCCTCTGCTCATCTCTGAGCCTTTAAAGATCAAGGTGGGATTAAATGACACTGAGCTGAAGGGAGCAGGGAGAAGCTAATCGCAGCCTCTCCGGCTTCACACCTGAGAACATGCTGCTCTCAACATCTTTGCTTAATTAATCAGCTAGGTGTGCATGCGTATATGTGCGCGCGCGAGTGAGCGAGCACACAACTGCCGGGGGCCTGTTTGTGGTGTTAGCCTATCCATGTGGTGCTTGGCAGCTTGCTATGCAGCAGACACGAGGCTAGACTTTAAATAAGGGTGCAATTATTGTCTGAATAATTGACGAACAACGGGCAACGCATCGGCACTCAGCGTAATGGGCTTTGGTCTGTTGCCACGGAAGAGGCGCCGGCCTCCTTGGCTCTGCCAGCTTTTTCCACATCTTTGGCGGGAAGGCCAAGCAAAGGTGTGGGGAGGAGCTTCTTCCTTTCCCTAATTTTGTTACTTTTTGCCCCAAGTTAAGAATTAGTCCTATAATGGGATTTAGCACTGACATGCTCTCAGCAGATTAAAGGTAAAGGTACCCCTGACCATTAGGTCCAGTCGTGGACGACTCTTCGGTTGCGTGCTCATCTTAAATCTGAGCTTTAGGTTGGGGTTTGTTTTTTGGGTTTTTTCTCAGGGGTGAGCAACTATAGTAGTAGCATCAATAAGTTTAATATACTCCCTCAAAATCCCAGATTGGTTGGAATATCCACGTGACAGCCACAGGTATACCAGGTGCCTTTGCCTAAGCCAAGGCTGGGGAATCTGCGGCCATGTTGTTAGACTCCAGTGCCCATCATCCCTGACCATTGGACATACAGACTACAAAGCATGGTGGAAGTTGTAGTCTGGCAACATCTGGAGGGCCACAGGTTCCCTCATCCCTAAAGTACATCTGTGAAAGCTTCTGAGGGCCAGCTTGCTGTTGTGAGAGTGTTGTGTTTCAGTGCAGCAGACCTGAGTTCAAATCTTGTTTTGCTTGCTCAGTGGCCTTGGGCCACATCATTTTTGCTCAAGTCTACTCCATAGGGCTGTGGTGAGATTAACATGCTGCTTTGAGCTCCTTGAGCAAAAGACCAGATATTACAAATGTCATCAACTGTCCTGATGAATGCCTGTCCTTGTATGTTTGGAAAGGGAAAGTGTATGAAGATGGGTGGTTTTGGTTTTACTAGTCTGCCTTTTTTCCTTTCTCACAACCTGTTATTTGAGGTTCTGCTTATTTGGCACTCTTGTAAATCAACTCAAAAACAAAACATAGGGTAGCAGCCAACTAAATTTACCTGGGGGTACACCCATTGAAATTACTGGACCTAAGTTAAGCATATTCATTAATTCCAGTGGGTCTACTCTGAGTAGGACTAACATTGGATATAACCTATTGTTTTAGTTCCAAAAACAAAACACACAACCATATCAAACAAACTCATGTTTTAAATTGGGGGGGGGGTGTTTGCAAGGAGCAGGTGTTAATCAGTTGGGGGGAGGGAAAGGCTCACCTTGGTATGGGATATCTTCATGTCATGTGAAATGGTCAGAAAAGCATCCAAGGAATGATGGCAGAAAATCACAGCTCTTGGGTCCTCACATTGCTCAAGCAGTGGTGGAGTTGAGTATGGAATTGGCTCAGGGTTCCTGGTCCTCATGGTGCTTTTGGCAGGGGGACATTGTGTCCATTTCAGCAGGAAACATTTAGCCCTGTTTGAGGCAGGTCCCATTTAACTAGAGCATGAATGCATGTGTACACACACAACTTCTGGTGTCACTGACCTCAGTTCTATGCTGGGTTCAGTCTAAACATCACAGGTCAGCTGCAGGCTAAATCAAATTTGACTTGTCACTGACCCGCAATAAACATTTAAAGTAGACATTCAAGCACAAATCACTGAGGCTGTGCGATTTGCGTGTGTAAAAAAAGTGTTCTCTGGCAGTTTCAAAGCAACACACCTTTTAGAGAAGTATTTAGGCTAAAGAGAAGGCAGCACCACTCATACATTAGCAACATGTGGGAGTTCAGTTGGTCGACGTTGAGATGTGTTATTAGGCAGTCTGTGGGCAGACTTTAAGCTTCACATATGTATAGCTATGAACTCCTGTATTTAAGCGTGTGTCATCATCTGCTTTTATGTTCTTTGTCATCTTTCTGTCTATCTGCTCACTTGTGTACCCCCTGTAATAATGAAATATCCAAGGTACTATTCAGCTAGTGGGAGACGGGAACAATACCTTTGGACCATGCTAACAGTGCCACCTGCAGTCATGGTGCCGATTTTGCTCAAGGTCAGAAAGCAAGCCAGTGGGAAAGAAGGTTCATGGATCTGGCAGACTCTGCCAGGGCACAGAAGTGGCTGGCTTTCTTTGGGCAGCCTAGGCGAACATGAGTAGACTGGCCTCTTGCGGTGCATTTCCATGCAGCTGCCTGAAATCCTGTGATTGGTGTTGTGTCAGGACTTGTATTTTTGCAGTGTTTCCTAAGAGGACAGGCGTTAGAAGGACAGAGTGGCTCTTTATATGGCACATGAGTCATTGTGGCGGGGAGCAATTTTCCATTCTTATTCCACTTGCTATGCCTCTTCTTTCTCTCGCCTTCCTGCATAAGCCTTCAGTGAGCCTCGCTTCACTTTCTTGGATGAGCAGCTTTTGATGCAAGTGGTGGGAGAATCCTTATGCTTTCTCTTTCTTGCTGTGTATTAAGAACAGATGGATCGCCCTCCAATGAGCCTGTCTGCACCGTTAACACTTGATGAGCCCTGCCGCCACTCTGACTTAAGAGAAGGAGCACCGGGTGCCTCACTTGGCTGCCTCTTGGCAAGGGAGGAGCTGCTGGCGCCTCCCTGAGCGTTACAGTGCTATGTGGCTAATTGTCCTTGTTTATAGTGGTAATATCCCTCTGTGGGGCGTAGGTGGCCTTGACCAGGGAAGGACCAGAGGGATCGAGAAAGAAAAAAGAAATAGATGACTAGGAAGACAGACATGAAGGTGCCAGGAAGCTGAGGGGGGATCTGATGAGGGTTTGGTAGGAGTGCAGGCTACAAAAAAAAGAGAGCGAAGTCCATAGTTGACAACTAGAGCAGGCAGCTGCTTTGGGAAAGAGAATAGTCATAAGGTAGGGCAGGTTCCATTGTACTTCCCCTTCTTAATTGTGGTTGTGGACTGTGTAACTGGATGGGTTGTTTTTGTACAGAGGCTGCAGGTAAAACTGTGTTACAACCTGTGTTACAAAACTTTGGGAAGTATCCCATGCCTTGTAAAACAAGCTGTGTACAGAATGACTTGAAGGGTGCTTCTTATTTGCTTAGAAAGCCAAGGGTAAATTGGCTGCAGACAAAATATTGCACAGAGGTTGATAGTTGCCTACCACAACCACAGCTGCTGCAGCTGCTAAGTAAACAATTTGGGAGTGGACTTGTTGCATAGATGGAGAATCCTAGTTGGGGATCACATTTGGGTAGGAAATGCTATGGTACATCTCCTTGACAATTACATCTCATTGAGAGATGGAAAGCAGACATGCGCTAAAACACCCCCAAGAAACCCTCTTCTCTCAAAATTCGAAAGTAGCACTTGCAGTATTGTGAATTGGCCCTTGAATCCCAAGACCCTGGGCTAAATCTGGGGGATGCTGGCTGAGGAACTGATGCTGCTTCGTTTCTTTTCTGTATCTAATTAGTTAATTTCCCATTCTTACTAGAGTTCTTCCACCACTTTGACCAGTTAGGGCTCAGGGTAAAGGCCAGGGGTTCCACAGAGTTTGACTGGTCTTTGTAGTGAACTAAACATTTCAGGTCATCTGGACACCTCCCCTCCCACAAGAGGCAGGTATTGTCTCTAGCCTTGTGCTGCACACTGAAAAGTCAATGTGAGGTCAAGGACAATGCCTAGCATCAAGCTTCGGACTCTGGTGTGTGTGTGTGTGTGTGTGTGTGTGTGTGTGTTTCTTGCAATTATACCGTGCTTTTCCAAACCCAGTGGGGAAACTGTTGTATCCTGCCTTTAAAACACACACACCTCTTTTTATCGGAATTGGAGAGGAGGTTTAGGGTTCTTGTTTTGTTACTGAACTTTAAAAGTGCTGTACCGGCACATATACAATTTTGCTCACCAGAGGCGAGCGCTCCACTTACTCTCCAGTGTGAAGGACTTTCTGAAGCCTCCAACAAACTCTCATGCACTGCGGTTTGGAGAAGGAAATAAATAGGAGACAGTTCTTCCCATGATTGTTTCATTAGTTATTCAAGTCCCAGGTACAAGTAAGACTGGAATCCTGCTGCTCCCTCCAGCCCTCTATGTGCTTGTTAGATAAATTGCTTGAGGGTGATTTATTTATTTATCCTTTAGTCCATTTATGGACAGTTTACTCTTCACTGAACTCTAAAGTGGAGTTCAATAAGGAAAATCCACATATAAATAAAAAATACATCAATATGCAACAAGCACACTTTCAGACCATTTGCATTAATATATAAAAATACACAAACAATATCCACAACAACTTTATCTATATCCCTAAGATATATAGTTAAGAATGGATGGGAAGGAGAAATGGAAGCTTGGCTCGTTATCTTAGACTTTTGGACCCCCTGATCAAAGTGGGCCTCAGCCATCCCCCCAGTCTTGGAGCTAGATAAGAGCATTCACCCACCCCAAATGCCTCTGACGTTACTGCACAGTTAGAGTGATGACCTTCTCTCTCATCCCCAGCTCTAAGGAAGGCTGGGGGCACCCAACCCTTGTCAGAATCCAGAGGCGTACTTGCCATAGCGAGCGTGGCAAGGGGAATTGTGGACCCCCTCCCCAGTGCCTATATTCTTGACATCATTGAGCAGCTCCTTGTCATTATCCTTCTGATGACAGCATCCTGCATTGGAGGGGGTTGGGCAAGATGACCCTTGGGGTCCCTTCCAGCTCTACATATCTGTGATTCTGTGATTTTGGTTGGGTAGAGAGATATGCAACACCTTCATGCCTGCCTGTGGGGCTCTTGCTCATGGAGGCAAGAGGGGAGCTTTGGCAGCGGCGCTAATAATGCTGGGGCCTGCCCGGCAATTGATTTAAATCATTTTATAGAGAAACCTATGCAAAATAAAAAGCCCTTAATCACATTTGTATCCATTTCCAGCCTCGGTAAATCAATTTGGATTGAGCCGGGTGCCACACTTACAGCTTATTAGTGTGTGTCTATATGGTCAAATTAATGCTAGCCCAGGTTCACCTAATGGGGTCGCTGCCATTAGATTTTCTGCCTAAGCCTCCATAAGCTGCAGCATTTCAAGAAAGAAAGAAAGCTGCAAGAGGAGTTGGTGAGAGCGCCAAGACGTGAAGGGCAAAGGCTAATGGCACTTCATCAGCGGCACAGCTTTCTATGGCTTCTACCTTTGGGGACGGGCCATGGCTCAGTGGCAGACTGCCTGCTTTGCATGCTGAATGTTGTAGGTTCAGCCCCTAGCATCTCCAGGTAGGGCAGGGAATGTACATTGTCTTAAGTCCTAGAGAGCTTCTGCCTCTCAGTTTAGACAATACTAGATGGACTGTGGAGTCTGTCTCGGTATAAGGCAGCTACTTACATTCACATGCCTGCTCATTTATTTTCTCCCTGATGTGGCCTCCCTGGCAGTGAGGAGAGGGAGTCTGGCACACATGGGCTGTGACCTTCAAAGAGGGGTTGCTGTCTCTGAAGCAATCCCACCCACCCGCCATGTAGGTAAAGCCCTGGCATGCTCCCCTGGTGGGAGCAGCAAGTTTCTGATCAGTGCTGAGTGTCAGACTTATCATTTAAATTTGCAGCAGTGCCCCCTGTTGTAGCATCATTCTGGGAAATTAGGATGGTTCTTCCCAGAGCCAGCTGTCTGGTGCTGTTTAGAGCACTGGAAAGCAAAAAAAATTCAAGCGTGTGGTAGTTCTGCCCAGGGCTAGCATTAATTCTGGCAACTCTCAAGGTTGCTGTGTGCTGACACCAGGCCTGACTCAAACCAGGAAAAGACCATATGCAAACCTTCACACAGTGCCAAACAGAAGCCTGGCTTAGTATGTCTTAGTAGGTATTGCAGTGGTCAGGGTTCAGGCTGCTACCCCTTCTGTTGCTCCTTGCTCTGTCCCTGTGGCCAGCAGCAGCAGAATACCTTATGCAGATTTGCATATGGAAATTTATAGGGGTTACATAATTTATTTTGTGTGTGCAGAGTTCAAGGCTTTCTTCAACCCTGCTTACGATGCTGCATGTGCAGCTCAAAGCATGATGGGAAGTTGGAGGTGGTGGCTCACCTGCAAGGATTAAACAAGGGCAGGTATTTTCAACAGAGGGTGCTGGGGAAACAGCTGATGGAGCACCTTAATTCCCCTAGCGGCAGCTTTCCCTCCTTCCTTTTCCCTCTTCTCCCCTCCCCTCCCTTTCATGTAGGTCATACAGCAGATAGCCTAGTACATTTTCCACCCGCCCATGCTCCACACGTTGTGTACTGAATTCCTCTCGCACGCTCAATTATTTATAATTATAGCTTTAACAGGCTCTGGCACTGTGTCCTGTCCCATTAAGGGAAAGGGAATGGTATGGGGGGTGGAGGGGAGAGAGAGAAGAACTTGCATAGCCGGCATTGTCAGTATGCTTCCCTCACTGTCGACATTGAGAATGCAGAAACCTCCAGCTTGCAGGCCCTCCCCAGTCTATTCCACCACAGGCAGCTCAACTGCCCTGTCCAATGCAGAAGCTTAATTACTAGTGAGTATTGCAGCACAGAAATGGAGAGTGGGGTGTGGAAGGTGTGCAAGGAGATAGATGAACACTGAAAATATCTGCATTAAAGCAGATACCCAATTGCACACTGTGTCCTTGGGAAACTAATTAGGGCACCTTGTGTCACAAGGGGTTGGGAAGCTTTGAAAGCCACTGTTTTAGCACTCTGGGTCCCTACACTCCCATTTCCTAAGCAGAATTGTCAAAGGTCTCTGTCTCTCATTACTTCTCAAAATTGTGTGTGAAGAGTTCTTGCCCAAGCAGTTTTGTGGGGAAAGAAGCCTTCTCTTTGTGACTGTGGCACCAAGACCTTGCTCCACTAAATGGAAGAAGTTAAGAAGTTCCACTCTGGACCTACCTAGTCCAGCATTCTGTTTCCTACAGCGGCCAATTAGATATCTCCTAGAAGCCTATAAGGGGACCAGGAAAGCAATAGCCCCCACCCCCTGCTGCTGATCTCCAGTGCCTGCTATTCCTCTCATCCTTGAGATAGCACATAACCATCATGACTAGCTGTCCACGATAGCCTTAGTCTCCTATGATCTAGCCTAGCAATCCTTTGATAGTGCCAGAGCTTATTAAGCAGGTGAGGGAGGGTTCTGTGCCTTCCTTGGCCAACTGACCAATCCCTCTCGGGCCTTAGCCTTGATTTTCACTCTGGGTTCTACAGGGAGAGTGGCTTTTGGAGTGGCATCTCTTCCAGCAGTTGAGAAAGGCTCCTGGGACCAAAAGGTAATCCCATAGTTTGGAAGAAGGGTGGGCTATAAAATCAATACATGGATGGATGGATGGATGAATATTGGAAAAAAGGTGTGGTGTCAGGATGACTAATATTATTATTATTAACACCATCATCAATTTATTAATTTTCTTCCATACAAGCATCTCAAGACAACAGACAATAAAAAACAGCAAAAACAGCAAAGTTTTAAAAACTCAGCAGCTACGGATATAACCATACAAAATAGGCATTCGTGGCAAAGACCCTTTTATGCATATGGGAAAGCCTGTTAGAACAAAGACCTCTTCAGTTGTTTATAGAAAGTGAAAATAGTGGTTACCTGCCCTGGAAGAGGTCATTCGTCAGGGTAACCAAGGCAGATTCAGTCCCAAACCCAGGTCTGAACCCAGGTTGGAATGGGGCTAATGATGAATTTTCACCAGGTCAGGTTGTTTAGGGCCAGGGGGCAGTTTTTGCCCCCCCCCCCCCGGTCTTCCAGCCTCTTGCAGTGAACATGCTCTTTGCTTGTGGGGGAATTTAATCTGGTTGATCTGCAAGGAGGGGCGGCATGTATAATCTTGCCTTTTGGGCAAGGAGTTAATTAGGTGCTCCTCTGGCTTAGTGATTCTATGGATTGCCCAGCTAGCTCAATGTCAGAGGTGAAACCATTTTGGCGATCTAATCTGGTCTTTCTTCATACCTGCTGCCCCATCCCCCACTCCATAACTGTCTCTCTTCTCTCCCCACATCCTCTGATTTTCTGCTGTTTATGTGGATCTACACACACACACACACACACACACTATCTCTTTGTGTGTGGTGTGGGGGGGTGGGAAGCAACAAACAGATCTTTGCATCTGGTGGCTGCTTAATTTGTTTTCAATAGGTTTCAATCAATTAAATGCAGTCCTGGGGAATGGGGGAAAGTGCAGCAGTAATTGGCTAAAATAAATCACTTGGCTCTTCCCCGGGCAGCCGTAGCTGAGGCAGGAGGCAGAAATGACTTTGCTTCTTAATCAATGCAAAGGAGGCATTGAGGGTGGTTTGGTTTTGTGGGTTGTGTGTGTTTTTCCCTTTTCTGGGGTTAGAGAGAGAGAGAGAGAGAGAGAGAGAGATAAACACACACATCCATGCAGCCCTGGAAGAGCCAGGCAAGGTGTGCTGGCTCATGGTGTGCCAGTGATTAATGCACCTCCCTTGTGTCTGGTGTCATGGCCTCTGAGACTATGTTATCCTGAGCTGCTGCCCCCATTTTCTTGCCACCCTTCCCCTTCTCTCTCTCTCTCTCTCTCTCTCTCTCTCTCTTTCTCTCTCTCTCTCTCCTTTATTATTATTATTTTCCCTGTGAGATTTTCTCTACCTTCAAGGCTGCCTGCCTCTCCATTGCCTCTTCCTTTGTACTCTGCAGGCAGTGCTTATGTACAGCATCTGCGGCAGAGCCGGGAGCCGGGAAATCAAGGCTGGGAGGTGAAATTGACAAGGTGGTTAAACTGCCTCAAAAGCCGGGTTCCTTCCTCTTCGCTCCTGCTCCCGCCTCCTCCGTGGACTCTGAGGGCTGCCCACATGAGCTGCAGCGAAGGTCGGGCTTTTTCCCAGCTTGGATGAAGTGCCTCGAGAGACGCTCCACTTCTCGAGTGCAGCCTTCTGCCCTCAGCTCTCTGATGGCTTGTGCTTTGAAATATTTCCTGCCTGCCCTTTCCCCCCTCTCGCTTTGGCTCTGCAAAGTTCCAGGCACTGCTCATTTCTTCTCACTGAGGAGCCTTGTAATAGATGGCCGCTTTGGATGAAATGCTTCCTTGTGAATGCTTTAAAAATGAGATGTACGGAAGTGACTAGAAAAAAATGGCAAAGTTAATGTTGAAAGGAGCAGACATGGAGGCCAGTGCTGTGTCCAGAAAACAGCTGATGCATCTTAGCAGTTGTATCGGTAAGCACTGGGCTGTAGGCAGTCAGTGCAAAGCCAAGGTTAGGCACCTGTGTGATTTGGGACAATGTTGCCCAGGAATAGGGAACCTTAGACTCAGGGGCCAAATGTGATCCTCCAGACATCTCTGCCTGGCCCTCAGGACTCTCCCTGGGTGACGCATCCCTGCTTTGCACCCTCCTGACTGTTTTTGCCTGCCTCAAGTATGTTTTTGAATTCTGACAATGCTTCCTGCTTGACTGTATGGTGAGGATGCAGAGGGTGTGTGTGTGTGTGTGTGTGTGTGTGTGTGTGTGTGTGTGTGTGAAAACTAGCCTACTGTACAAAGGTAAAGTTCATGTTAGTGGATCTACCCCCTTTTGCCTCTGTCCCTGTGCACCACTGGCATGTGCCCTACAGTAAGTTACCTTGAAGGGAATGTGGCCTGTGGGCTGAAAAATGTTTCCCATCTCTCTTCATAGCCATTGCCCCAATCAAGCCTGCCAGTAAGCCATTCCCTTGGGTATTCTGTGGAGATAATTGTCTCTAGCAGAGGTAGAGAGTCCAGGGCCTTCTGGTTGTTGTTTGGGCATTACCTATTGCGAGCCTGGCTGATATGCAGGGATGGTGGATGTTGTGGTCACAGATTCCTCACCACTGCTTTTCAGGCCATCAAGCCAGAAGGCTGTATAAATATGAATGTGTTTCTTATAAACCCCATATGGATCAACACAGGTGTGTTTGGTCAGTTGAACTAGTAGTCCCCCCCCCCTTATAGGTTAACACGCTGGATGGGAGTAATGTTCCGTGTGCAGTCTGATTGCCATCTTCAAAGGCCTGTTGCATACGTAAATGATGGAGAAGCTTTTTGCTGTTGCTCCAGAAGGTAGATCTTGGAACCAATGAGTTAAAATCAGAATAAAAGGAACGGGCTAAATGTCAAGAGGAATGTCCTGAAAGTATGAGGTGTACCGACAGTTGAGCGGACAACCAGATTTTATCTTCTGTACTTCTTTTGCAACCTTATTAAGCACTGCTTAGCTGTGGGAGAGGAACAGGAGTCTCTTAACAACTCTCAGCACCCATAACAAACTACAGTTCCCAGGAATCTTTGGGAAAAGCCATGACTACTACTACTTCTATTATTATTATTATTATTATTATTATTATTATTAGCAGCAGTAGTAATATTAAATTAGTATACCACCCTTCAGATGGTATACAGATCTTAGGGTGGTTCACAACATAAAAATACAAAATGAGAACACAAAATACGTAATAAAACAAAAACAAACTAAGTGGTATCATAGTGTATGGTGCAGATGTGGCCTTGATGAATCTCCTGGATTGGAAGGGGATTGTAGATGTAGACATTTTGAGGTTCCTTTCAGCTGGGTGATTCTATGAGACTGTTCCTCTGGCAAAAGGGAAGTGTTTATAGTTGGGCTAGTCTGGGGAGAGCAAACTGGCTTTAATAACCACAATAGTTTCTTGCTTCTACTCTACAGCCGGCAGTGGCTCACAGCAATAGACACCAGCTCCCCACCTGGGCGGTCCCCAGCTCAAGTCCCAACTGCTCTGACTTTTTTACACCAACAGTGCACATAGCACAAACAGTTGCTCCCCTCGTACAGACATTTTCAGAAATCTAGGGTTTGTTGTAAAAATGCACCTGAATGAGGTGGGAGAATCCTGTTGGCAGAGTGGGCTTTACCATTTCAGACTGCAAGTAGGGGAAAACCCCTTTAAAAAATGTTCCCTTGTATTAAAAAAACAACCTTCCTACAAGAATTAAACCAACTTATCAGAGAGCACAACCAGCCGTCTCCCTGCTTTGTTGGTCTTTTAGTTGTGAATACATCTTGTGATGGGGAAAGCATTAAAAAGTGTGTCCATCTTCCTTCCCAGTCATTGTTCAACCTTGGGGCCATTATACTGCATGCCTAGATCCATTCTAGGAAGGAACTGGTAGGGCCAGAAGCAACTCTGTGGCAACAGGTCTTTGGAACGTTCCCCATAGCTTTAAATCGTTAATCTCCCACACGCTCCTTGTTGCCCCACCTCTCCCAAGAAATATCTAGGAGCTAATGAAACCTCTGTTTGATCTTGCAACAGATCCCAAGGTATTGCAACAGGAAAACGGTATAAACCTAATTAGCTACCATGCACAAACTGCCAGGAACAAGTGCACATAATTTCAAGGGGGGTGGGGGATCAGCACAAAATGTTGTGATGTGTAAAATGTTGCCAAGGTACTTCTGTGCACCAATGGAAGCAGTGAGGCACTGGGGCTTCTTTTAACTGAGCCAGTTGAACTCAAATCTGTTTGACGTTTTTCTGTGGTCCGTATTGCCTTGCAATTTCTACTGGTTAACGAAGTGTTCTTTTTTTTCTCTTCAGGGGAAAAAAATACCCCTTGATCAGAGGAGGTCATTGCCTCTGCAAAATTATAGTTGTAAGAACGTTGGGAGGGGGCTGCTCCTATGAACCTGCCAGCAATTATGTGAACACAGCACTTTTGATTGCTCCATTCCAATTAATTAAACACAACGGTGACCCAAATTATGATCTCTTGGCTCTGAGAGTGTGGTATTTTTAACCTTAACTGTCTGGGGCTGTGTTTAGATTTCAAACCCAGGCAGAAGTGTCACCCAGGGAGAATGGCTGGTTGTTGAGCTGAACTTTGCGGATGACAAAACCCGCAATTAGACACCGCAGTGTCCCAGAGACAGGTCCTTAAAGCTGTCGGAAGCCAGGATCCCGTCATTTGATACAGGTCTGTCATTATGCTGCTGAACCTATTAGCTTCAGGTAAATAACCCGTCATGCCAGGGACAGAAAGCAGGCAGGCTGGGGAATTCTGTAGCCTCCTAATTAGGAGCTGTGGTGCAAAAAGATGGATGACTTCCATCCCTTAATTTCCTTCATTAGGGAGAAGTTTCAGGAGTTCCTACTCCAGTGCTGAGATGGCAGTTTTCACCTCTCTTAATTTTGATTCCACAACTCTTCGCTATTCTATGGTGCATTGTTTGTTTGAGCTGCTTTTGCGCTTCTTGATTTCAGTAGATGGGGCTGCAGACCCAGCTTGCACCTGTGTTAACTTTCAGGTTTGTATAAATGACTCTGAAAATTACTGTCCACATTGAACTGATTTAGGTCTTTCCCAAATTTTTCGGTTTCATCTTGTCCTGCAAAGGGCACGGGAATGTCACTCTCTCTGAACCCCCCCCCCCGCCTTTTGGAAGAGGGAAGAAAGGAAAGCAAGACCTGTATAGCTTTTGGGTAACATAGGAAACTGCTTTATACTGAGCCAGAGCACTGGTCCATCTAGCTCAGAATTGTCACACAGACTGATAGCAGTGCAAAGGATGGTGTTTACTTCACCAGCTACCTTCTGCCAAGCATGCATTACTCAAGTGGACCTCTGGACATAGCAGGATTTTTATTTTATTTTTGCACAATAGTTGGCCACTCATTGACCCTCCAGTGTTGTGGACCCAAGACTGCAGAACTCCCTTCTGACTGAGATTAAACACTTTCCTTGGTGAATCATGACCAAGACGTTTCCAGCAGACATTTTATCCGTTCTTATTTATTTATTACATTTCTATCCCACCTTTCCTCCAAGGAGCTTTAGATGGTGGCATACCTGGTTCTCCCATTCCCATTTTATCCTTACAACAACCCTTTGAGGTAAAGAGATGGTGACTATCTCAAGGTCACCCAATGAGCTTCATGGCTGAGTGTGTGTGGATGTGAAGCTCTTAACCACTCTACCATGTTGGCAGTGTTGTAGTGTCTGGTTATATGGTGAAATTTTATTTATTTATTTTCTTGGTGGTTCATTTTTATTCACACTGCTTTTAAATGCTAATTAAGCAGGGTAGAAATGTTTTAAATAAAATTAATAAATAAATAACATAAACCACTGGATTTAATTATTTCCAAGTGTTTCTATTGCAGCCTTAATAGAAGAAAAACAGTCATTACTAAAAATAGAAGAAAAATAGTCTTTACCCAAAGTTGGACCGTGATTATACAGTGGTACCTCGGGTTACATATGCTTCAGGTTACATATGCTTCAGATTACAGAGTCCGCTAACCCAGAAATAATACCTTGGGTTAAGAACTTTGCTTCAGGATGAGAACAAAAATCGTGTGGTGGCGGCGCGACAGCAGCGGGAGTCCCCATTAGCTAAAGTGGTGCTTCAGGTTAAGAACAGTTTCAGGTTAAGAATGGACCTCCGGAACGAATTAAGTACGTAACCAGAGGTACCACTGTAGTTGTAAATTTATAACTCTGTGGTCTAGAAACAACCTTCAGTAGCAAACTGTGAGGGCGGGTCTTTGAGTCCCCTTGACATTCCTTGCATATCATTCTGGAATAACAGCTGCAGGACCCTTTTG